AGGAAGGCCCTTAAAGGGATGGATTGACACAGCGGCTGTGGCGATGGACTCAATATAGCAAGGATCATGGAGCTGGTGTGGGATCGGGCAGTGTTTCCTTCTGCTGTGCATAAGGGGGCTATGAGTCAGAGACAACTCTATGGCACCTAACAACAACAACAACAACAATAATGGTTTGTTGGGAGTCACAAAGCAGCACCAATTTGTTAATATGAAGCATTGTATGTACCTCAAATTTTTAATATAATAGGTTTTATGAGGGTTGATTCATAACCACAGGTTGTACATAAGTAGGAGGACATTCATGACTCCAGGGACTGCCTGTAGCTACCTTGAAAAATGTCTGTGAAGGACAAATGATGTAAATATATACATATACACATACATAGCAGAAACAAGAGGACTCTAAAGAGGAGCTAAATATTAGCTGAAAAAGGGGGTGGGATGTTTTTATGACTTTGGTTCCCAAGAATTTTTTAAATCCCTGTCCACTGACCACAAGCAGTCATGGTTTGTGGCTCCCCAACCTCACCCACACTGCCTGCTTGGCTGTCTTTCTTCCTATTAATTCCTTGAACTTGTCAAAGACACTCCCACCTCTTTGTGTTGTTTCTTTGCCTGGCTTGCTCTTCACCCGGGAATCTGCATGGCTCACTCTTTTATCTCCATTGGGTAGTGCTAAATGATTCCTCAGGGAGGACTTCCATACTTTGCAACCACTCCAGCACTCTCTGACTCTTCCTCAGTTATTTTTTTTTTCTCCACAACACTTAATGATAACCCCATACACACACAAATATATATTATTTATTTATTTTTCGTTATCTTGTTGCATCTCTTCTCCATTCCCCTAAAATATAAGGGCAAGACTTCACTGCTATATCTCCAGCCTGGAGTCAGTGCCTGGTGTGTGGTAGGTTGTCAATAAATATTTGTGGAATGAATGCAAGAAATTAATATAAAGGGATGAGTTATAAATTAAGAAAAGAAAGAATCTGGTATTCAAGTTAATAAATGGAGGATGGCTGACTTAAAATATTTGAGTCCTTTTTGCTGTACTAGTACTCTGAGATCTTATTATTCTCCTCATATCCCTGTTTACTGAGATGTAACTTCTAGAGATTTGATATAAAATGGAAATAAAGGAAGTAACCTGCTTATATTACAGGATCTGGCAAATATAAAATAAAATTATAAACAGCAATTACATCAAATAACCTGATCCCTTGGTAGCCAGAGGCATCCACTGCTGCTAATTTTGATTCCTTGTCTTGCTTAGATCTAGGGCTATAGATGCATATAAACAACAACTAAAATGCCTACCATTTTTGGAGTAGCAAGAAACCGATTAGTTGACATGGATTCAGCTTCACTTCTCTTAGAATTGGCTGATTGGCTGTGACAGCTTCAGATGAGAAAGACAAAAAAGGACCTATATGTTCCTAAACAGTGATGGACTCTGGTGCATAAGATGGAGGATGCTCCCTCCCTTCAGAACAATGATCTGCTTACAAGGCCAATTTGCCCTGGAGGGCAGTTGTTAGGACAGTGCCATTTCTACTCTGCTGAGTGTCAGGTTCCAGTCCTTATCAGCTGAGGTGTAGCTTAGTAAGAGGCAGCCAAAACTGAACTACACAGTTACAGGGATTTGGTATAGTCAAAATGTGGTATATATGTGATGCCAGCACTTATGCCTGGGCTTTATTAATGATGAAAACAGCTTGCTAAAAATAAATTCCCCACAGTCCTGTAGTCAAGTCACTTACATTGTCTGCCAAGTGATGCTAAATCTAATCTTTGAAAAGTTTCTTCCATTTGCATATTGTTCTTTTATTCCAATCTTGTTATAGAGAGAGTAGGTTGTTTATGCTTGTTGTGTATTTGTAACACAGTCAGCCCATGTTTTTGAACACATTGCTTTCCTGAAGGCTGTACCTTAAGGTGTATTGCCATGCAATAAAATTTTATTGGCTAGACATTGGTAGGGAGCTCTGGTAGCATAGTGCCTAAAGCACTTGACTGCTAACCAGAAGGCTGGTGATTCAAAACCACCAGCCACTCCTCGGAAGGAAGATGGGGTAATCTACTTCCGTAATGAAGGAAGATGGGGTAATCTACTTCCATAATGAATACTGTCTCGAAAACCCAAGGAGGGGTCGCTATGAGTTGGGTCCACTTAAGGGCACATAACAACAAACATTGTTAACATTATTAACACAGATTTCATAAGAAATTGTTTAATGATCAGAGAAAGGTGATGAAAACCGATGAATAGGGATTTTGAAACTCAGTCATTTGGGCATAAGAGGGAGTGTGCAAAGTAACAAAACATGAACATTACTAATTCCTGACCAAATGTCTCCTTTAGATAAAATGGCAGAGCAGGTGCTTACACGCTTTGCAGTGTGGGTGCTGCCCGCCTCTGAACAAGGAAGCAAGTTTGTTCTTTAAACATGGCCTTGATTTATTTTGCTCTTGTTCTTTTTTTTTTTTTTTTAATAAAGGAATTTAGTATCTACCATATAGTAGATGTTCAATAAATGTTTTTTGAATTGAAATCATAAAATATTTTACAACTTTTCACCTTTACATAAAGGACCGTTAAAATTTTCACTCATGTTTAGAAACTTGTATTTTTTATGGCTTTGTCTTCAAGGAATATAATTCAAATTCCTAGGGAATTATGTGAGAAATTCACAAGTATGATGTAATTTGAAATTTCAGTATATGTCCAAAAATCGGGTTTCTGAGATTGTGATGCTCTAATTATCCACCAGCCACTCCTCAGAAGGAAGGTTGGGCAATCTACTTCCGTAGTGATACCGCCTCAGAAACCCAAGGAGGGGTCGCCAAGAGTCGGTTCCCATTCGATGGCACATAATAACAACAATTTACTCTCATGTTTGGAAAGAAAGTATGATAGTAAAACTTTTTTGTTTGTTTGTTTTTTTTAATTGCTTTGGATATGGAGCTCTGGTGGCATAGTGCCTAAGGCATTTGACTGTTAATCAGAAGACTGACGGTTCAAACCCACCAGCCACTCCTCGGAAGGAAGACTGAGCAATCTACTTCCGAGATATCTTCTTGGAAACCCAAGGAGGGCTCACTATGAGTCAGACTTGACTCGACGACAGTGAGTTTGGTTTTTGTTTTTTTTGGATTTGCAAAATGATAGCCTAAATAAAGAGGTCAGATAAATATAATATGAGTTAATGTTTGTGGCTTATTTTTTCTAGCTTTCTCACTGTGCTAAGTCCTTTACAAATAACGTATTTAAATCTCATAATAATAGCATGGGGTAGTTAATCCAATTCTCTCTGATTTATAAGTGAGGAAACTGATGTTACAGAGGTTAGGTAATGTGTCCAAGGTCAGAATCTCCTGTTTCTATTTGACTTTGTTTGTGCAATATGCTAGGTAGTTAATAGCATTGGATCTGGAGCTAGGATACCTGGGCCTGAATGTCAGTTGTCCTACTAACCAGTATTGCTTGCTATTTATCTATTTCTTGTCTGTTTCTCAATCTAGACCAGTAGTTTCTAACTCAAACTGCATATTCAAATGACGCTCTTAAAAAAGTATCCTGCTTGGTCCAATTAAATCGGTCTCTGGTCTGGTAGACAGTAAGGTTTTTAAAACTCCCCAGGTGATTTTAACGTACAGGCCTACACTATAGACCCCTTGAGAGCAGGAATTCATCCGTGAAGCCTCACTGCCATCATGTAGCCTACCTAACACAGATTGGATTTTCAGTAAGCGTCCCTGGAAAGAATGAATAGCTTGATGGCCAATTAGCTGCACCATCTCAAGACTCATTTGATAAACTCCAACCAAGCTGATTATGAAAACTTGACATTCGGATTTAACGTATTCTTAATAAATTGAAATTTATATAATGGTATTCAATACTTAAACAGATAAAGAAATGTGTTGCTATGGTGTAGATTCCAACTCATAGCAACCCTATAGGAAAGAGTAGAACAGCCTCCCCAGGGATTCCAAGGCTGTAAATCTTTAAGAAAGCAGTTTGTCACATCTTTCATCTTCAGAGTGGCTGGTGAGTTCACATCACAGACTTTTCAGTTAGCACCTCAGTGCTTAACCACTGTACTGCAAGGCTCCTAAGATAGCCCAGTGTCATCTGTTTTCTCAAAATCTAGGCATTGCTTCAGGTGACTTCCTATCTGCACATTTATGTGTTTACTTTGTTGTTTTCATTTCATTCTTTGGGGTCCCAAAATCATATTAGCTGGGTGGTTTTCACCTATAAATCTCTTAAAGAATGCCTAAAACACTAAAGCAGAATTTAGCAGTCTCTACTTGCTACTATAAAATTTCTCACTCTCAGACTGCTATATATAATCTTACCCCTTCTAGTGTTTGTTTTGTTGCCTTTCTCTTGAAGTATCTATGCAGATTTATATTTAACCTTCCTATGTTCTTTGTTTTTTAATGACCCATCAATAATTATACTTAGCTGTAAAAATCTACACAGTAACTTAAAAGAAGAGAAAGCAAGGGACTAATGGCATTAAAAGCAAAAGCTCTAGCAATTTGTTGAAATGAACTTTTTCCCATAATGGGCTGGTATTGCTTCTTTCCTGAACAGTAAAAGGAAGCTGATATATACATATAAGAAATCGTGCCAGAACAATGTGCCTAGTAAAATCAGATCTCTTATCTAAATGAGAAAGATGTATCAGTTTATTTTTAGTAAGATTCAATTTCAGGATGGCCTCTAGACATCAAGCTGAAGGGTGGGTGAGGGAAACCAATTCCTATCATCTCTGATAAAAAGGATCATGACTTCATTACCTCAGTTTTGGCCTAGAAATTGAGATGTTATCAGTTTAACAAAAAGAAAGAAAATACATTACTAAAATGTCTCTAACTATTGGGGAATCGCCGCAGTGGAAATGCGCAGGTGATAGATATTTATTGTAATAAAAGTGGTTGTTTCTGGGACCATGTCTAATTTCTGTACAATGTTATTTTCTCAGGTAATCAGCTCTGATTGCGGGTCTACTGTTTCCTTTTGGATGATAGACACTGGGCAGAAAATCAAACAGTTTACTGGTTGCCATGGCAATACAGAAATCAGCACCATGGCCCTAGATGCAAATGAGACACGGCTTTTGACTGGCAGCACAGATGGGACCATAAAGGTGCGAACACCGTGATGCTTTTCTACCCAGATACAAGGAGACTAAAATATTGTGTAAGGGGACACAGCTCTAGTTATACTTGTTTTTGCCTTTCTGGCCTTGTAGGAAGAGAGATGGGACAAGATAAGAGAGCTAAATAACCCAAACCTTCTAAAGCAAAGCTGTTAGGAAAATAAACCTCTGTGGAAAAATGAATAAGTGATTTTTCTGAATAAATTATTTAGAATAAAAACACAACTTGGCTTACTTCTTTTAAAAAGCATTTTCCTGAGTATTGGATAAAAGACTACTTTGGGGAATAAGAGGCTTGAATATTTTTCATGTGCTTCAGCTAATGTCTCTAAGTTTTCTTTTTCTCAGTTCATAAAATGAGAAATAAGGGCTGCTAAGTAAACTTAAAAAAATAGCATAAATGCAAGTTTTTCAGAAAATGAATACATTTATTTTTTATTGTGGTTTGGGTGATAGTTTACAGACCAAGTTTGTATTTCACTCAGCAATTTATACACTTTTTATTCCATGACATTAATTACAATCCCCTCAATGTAACAGCACTCTTCCCACTTCTACCTTGGATTCCTCGTTTCCATTTATCCTTCTTTCCTACGTCGTTCTGCCTTCTGGACTTCGCTTTTGGGTGAATCCTGCACTTTTATTCTCATATGGTTGCTCATTCCGAGAAGTACGTTTTTCATGGGTTCTGTTCACTTTCTGAAGGAAGGTTGGTCAGTCTACTTCTGTAGTGATACTGCCTTGGAAACCCAAGGAGCGTTCGCTATGAGTCGGATCCAACTTTATGGCAGTGAGTTTGGTTTTTGGTTTGGTTGTTCACTTTATAGGCTTGTTTATTGGTTGGGTGAAAGGGGATGTGTGGGGGTGGGTTCAATTCCAGGTTTGAAGGGTGTCCAAAGGATATATTCTCTACTAGACCAGTAAGTCTAGTCTTTTTTATGATTTTGAATTTTGTTCCACATTTTTATCCCACTCTGCCTAAGACCTTCTATTGTGACTCCATCAGAGGAGATGATAATAGTAGCCAGGCACCATCTTGTTCTTCTAGTTTCAGGGTAGCGGAGGCTGAGGCTCTTGTATTTGCACTAATTGTTTCCATGAGTGTTCAATTTTCTCCACTATTCTTTGCTCCTGCCTGGGAGAGACCAATAGTTGAGAAAATAATTATTTTGTAATGAATCTATTTTGTAATTTGCGCTTATGCTATGTGAAGGTGAGACAGTGAAGAAGGCAAGTAAAAAAAAAATCATTTTATTTATTATTCATCCTAATACATGGGCTTGCCATGAGTTGGGAACTAACAAGAACAACCTAAAACTTCTTTATGTTTCTTACATTCTTATTTTGCAACTATTATTAATTTCTTCTCAAAGAAAGGTGTTATTTAAGTTTACAAAAGTGATAAAGTGTTCATACTTGGTTATCGGAAATAATGTCCATCTGTGTTCTCCTGAGCCTTGAAAGTAATGGCAGTCTTGGATTAGAGGAAGCTTCTGATTTTAAGGCAAATTAAGGAAGTTTCCATATAAATAGTGAATGCTGCTTAAACCTCTGTCACAACTAGTGTTAAAAGGGTGTTAGCTGTATCTTCTATGGTGGGGTGTGTGATGCATTCAGGTAGACTGCAGGGAGGGTAACAGAAGCTATCTATACAGGTAAGTAGAACATCCTGGAAATGGAGGGTAAGCATTCAGGGGAGTTCCAGGCTGGCAGCTGTCACTGTGAGGGAGGTGCTCTGGTAGATTACAGTAATGTTGCTGTTGTTGTGATGTGCCCTCGAGTCAGACCCAACTCATAGCGACCCCTCCTTGGGTTTCCGAGGCGGTAAACTACGGATGTAGATTGCCCCATCTTCCTTCTGAGGAGTGGCTGGTGGGTTTGAACAGCCAGCCTTTCTAGTTAGCAGTCAAGTGCCTTTGGCCCAGAAATCAGCAGAGCCTGGACTCTGAAAAGGTCAATTGAATTTAGTATTCATGAGGAACTTGAGTTTAAGTAATCTAGTTCATGAGAAACTGGCAAGATGAAAGAATTCTGGAAAATCCCAATCTCAATGGTCAAGGTGTAATAAAGCAAGAATAATTGGAAATACAGTATTAGACAGTCACTTAAGGAAGGGTCAGTATCCAATTTACCAGGCCTGTGGTAAGAGATTGGACTAAACAATGACAGAGTGGATTAGTATGCATCCCTTTATCCTTATCTCAGAAGATAACTGATTATAGTAGGGCAGTACCTGTATGTGGTTGCTAAAATGGCCCCAGCTAATGAAATGGATGGGATCCATGAATAGTCAGATCATTATAATCCCATTTGTAAGTATTACTTTAGGTGGACTTTGTAGTGCCAGATATAAAAGAAAACAAAGTGATATAGGTGAAGAGCATGTGTACCCCTCAGTGTCTCAGTTTAAGCCTTGGTAACTTAAAAGTTAATGTAAATTTAGTGGTATAATTACTGCCTTTAAAGGTGCATTTGTCTTTATCACAAGAGCGAAAAGTTCTGAAATCTGACACCCTCTGCTCAGGACACATAACTCTGAGTTGAGCTGCTCTGGTCATATTCTATGAAGAAACAAGAATGAATGACATTTTCCAATCTCATTTATAATTTAGATTCCAAAATCAGTGCCTTATGTAATCAAAGATTTAAACCTATTTATCATGGTTTTAAAGGGTCTGGTTTTAAATGAATAGTTTTAAATAATTAATATATTCATACAATGCAAATTTTGAAAATAAAAAAGTAATACCAGTGAAAAAATCTCTCCCGCCCATTTTCCTAAGACCTTTCTAGAGGATACAACTGTTATTGGGTTCTTGTGCATCATTCTAGAGATGGCTTTGAGAATAATTTTTTTCTTAAAGGCAAGAAATTGGATTTGTGTGGTAGATTTTGCATCTTTATTTGTCTTGGACTTTGAGTCATATCAATGAGTACGATAATAATACTAACAACAACAAGGATAGCACTATCTAACTTTTATTGCATGCTTAATATGAACAAGGCATTGTTCTAAACACTTTACCCAAATCACATACATCTGTAAGGTTGGTATTATTATCATCCCAAAGGAGTCAAGTAGCTTTCTCAAGTTTCCACAGCTGCTTGAGTATTTACAGAATCTAGAAACATGGAGATGCCTCATTCTTTGTAATTCTACTTTGTAGATATTCCATAGGACCTCTGGTAGCATAGAGGCTCAGGCACTTGACTGTTAACCAGAAGGCCGGCGGTTCAAACCCACCAGCCACTCCTCGGAAGGAAGATGGGGCAATCTACTTCCATAGTGATACTGCCTAGGAAACCCAAGGAGGGGTCGCTATGAGTCGTGGCCGACTCGATGGCACATAACAACAACAACAACAGATATTCCATAATCTTCTTGCTCAGTCCCTCATTAATTACCTTTAGGTTGATGCAAACTTTTAACTTTTATAAACAATGCTACAAAATTATCCTTGAATATATGTCATGTCATGTATGTGAGTTATCTGTGGGATGATTTTCCAGAAGTTCAATTTTTGAGTCAAAGCATACATGTAATGCTAATTTTATAGATAGTGCTAACTTGTCTTCTGTACCTGATATGCCAACAATCTTTAGTTTAATAGGATTTAGTTTTAAGTGTTAGTGATCTGATGATGCCTTGCTCAAAGTAGAGCCATCAGATTTCAGGACTCACACCACTGCCTGGGAAGGTAAATTAAAACTACTCGTGTCTTTTGTAGGACTGGGTTCTGTACCCACTAGCAACAAGAGATTTTGTAAGGAGATGACAGGGAATCTAGTAATGATGACTATGCTTCAGACCCTGTCAAACACCAAACCAAACAAACTGGTATCCAGCTGATTTCAACTCATAGTGACCCCCATTGGGTTTCCGAGGCAGTAAATCTTTATGGAAGTAGATTGCCCCATCTTCCTTCTGGGGAGTGGCTGGTAGATTTGAACCACCAACCTCTGGTTAGCAGTCAAATGCCTCAGGCACTGCACCACAAGAGCTCCTTTATTAGATGCTTAATCCTCTATTTCCAAGAAGTTAGGCTCCTGTGTCAAAAATGAGGAACTGGAAATTTAGGGAGATTAAGTAAATAATCTAGTGCCACATAATGAGAAAAAGAAAAAAAAACTAGCATTTTAACAGACTCCAAACTGTTACTCTTTTCATGATTTTATATTGTTTCACACTTTAAAAATACAAACTTATTTATAGCCTTTGAACCTGCTATTATTTTAATTGACTGATAGATTTCCAGGCAGAGTAATAAAAACAATGGTTAAATTTAAGTGGTAAGAGGATTTTCTTTAATCATGACATATCCTGAATGAATCAACCTTAGTCCAGAATATAAATACAGAAGTTTAAAATAATTGTATTAAACAGTGTTGTTTAACTCATTGGAAATTCTGTCTCAAAGATAATTTCATTTTTTTTCTTAAAGATATGGGACTTCAATGGATATTGTCACCACACACTAAATGTTGGACAAGATGGAACTGTGGATATTTCACAGATCTTAGTTCTTAAGAAGACCATACTGGTTACTGGCTGGAAAAGGTATGTTATGCTTCACACAAAGCTGTAGGAAGTGAAAATAAGAATTTTTAAAAACTGTGAATCAGAATTTAAATCTTGAATGATTCTGAGTTATTAATTTGCTGGTGACCTAGCAAGTGAAACTTCAGCTGGAATTGACTAAATGCTAAATGAGAGCAATCTGGTAAGATCACATAGGTTGAGGGACTTTGGGAAGCATCACAGTGCTTTTTCCTGGGTTTGGGAATTTGACTGACTTTTTCCTTAACCACTCTGGATAGAGAAGTTATTATACCTTTTCCTGAATATCACCTGCAATTTTTATAGTCAATAAACTCTTAATGTGCAGTTTACATTCCTCCAACTGTAAAGGAAACTCATTCCTTCTTCTTTTGTTATTATATTAACTAGTAACACAAGAGAGAAATACCTCACTGACTTCTGTGTTAGTGCCTCCTTTAGACAGTGCAGAGAAGGCCCTTTCACAGCATACTTACTAGTCTTCCATTTCAGTATAATGGTAATTACTTCACTTTCTTTTTGTCCTGAAAGATCATAAACAGGGCATTTTATAAGCACTAGAAAAATTAAAGTATGATATGTTTTGAAAATACATTATCTATAAATTCAACTGTTCATAACATATTTCTTTAATAGGCAATTTGCCAGACATTATTCACTATAAAATTATGATCTTATTGGGTTGAATATAGGATTAAATCAGATTTTATATGTAGAAAACTATCAGCATTCTTGGATGTTTTCATCAATCACAGAAAATCACTCTTTTTCTAATGCAAATGTGTATGTACAAACTAGCAAACATAATGCCACCTGCAGCTTAGTTTTCAGGGACAGTTTGACTAAAAGGAAAGAAATTATAGCCTAAATCATTCTACATGATGATCAGAACAAATTCTATCAACCTCGCTGTTGAAAGACAAGGCTTCTTCACATCCCTGGGAGCAATCATGATCCATTAGTGACTCATAACCACTCACAGTCTGTGGCCTAATGATCTCTATAATTAGGCTGTGGCAATGAATAAGTTTAATTCTCTAATATCATACAGGGTAGATGTGTAGTATCCAGCTGATCCAATTTAAATTTGAACAGAGAAGAATTTTAAAAATTAGTGTAAGCAAAAGTTGGTGATACCATTTTCTTAATTATATTTTTAGATATAACTTAGTTTAGGGAGCTCTGGTAGTGTAGTGCCTAAGGCACTTGCCTGCTAACCAGAAGGCTGGTGGTTCAAACCCACCAGCCACTCCTCAGGAGGAAGATTGGGCAATCTACTTCTGCAGTGATACCGCCTCAGAAACCCAAGGAGGGGACGCTATGAGTCAGGTTTAACTTGATGGCACATAACAACAACAACTTAGTTTAAATATAATTTAAAAATTAGCATGAAATATATGCTTTTTTGATTGTTTAAAAGGGAAACTTTAAAATATTAGATGTATAGATGCATCTAAAACTGTTTGAAAGTAGCCACTGATTTTCTATGTTGGTGTGTGGTTTCTTTCTATAACTCCTGAGGAGGAAGTTTTGGAGAGACTGGAATGAGAATAGGAAAAGTTATCACTCCTTCCATCCTCCTCCATCTTTTCCATCTTCAACTTGTTTGTCAGGACTTGGATCCCTTAGTAGAAACTGAAGGTTGAATTTGTGCATTCTCAAATATATTATTTTACTTTCATATTGATGGATTTACAAGTTATAGTTCCTAATTCAGAGACTTTATGTTAGGATAAGTTGCAAGATCTAAGAAAGGGTTCCTTTCCCCAAGGAATCTATTGCATTTAGCAAAAGGGCATGAGACTTACAACTGGGGAGTAACCCCTTAATGTTACTGACTAGGAAAGAAATAACTGGAAGATTAACAGTCAGATTATTAAACTTTCTTTAAAACTCAGAAAGAGGCTTTGCTAAGTTGTAGTTTTAACTACAAGCTTTACCTACATGAAAAGAAGGATCTGGTAATTTTGTCCAGGATGGAATAAAAATTGCATGTATTGAATAATGAACTAAACATACTATCTGATTTATTTTTTTATTAGGAAGAGCAACTATTTAGAGTGCTGTGTAGTATTAGGCATTTTGCTTACATTATCTAATTTAATCCTTATCTCCATCTTGGAAAGTAGGTAGTATTTTACAGATACCTTAAATCTCCATTGGCTTGCTAGACCTGTTGACTGAAATTCAAAATTTAGTATGTTCTGAACAGAACTTCCTTCTCCAAAACCTGCTGCTTTTTCTTTTAGATTCAGAGCCTTCATTAGTGGACAGAACTCCGATATCACCTTGGTTTTTCCTTCGCATTCATTCACCTTCAGAACCAGATAGTCACTAAGTCTTACCTATTTTATTTTCTAAATATTTCAAACCCTGTTCCCATTGCAACTACAACTGTATTATTCACAGCATAATTTCTACCTGGATAGTGTTACTGATTTGTCCTTTCCCCCAGTAATGCTCAGTCCTTACCCTGTATGTAGATTCTGCACACTTTAGCTACAATGATTTTTCTCTACAAAACATATTTCTCTATATCATTTCTTTGCTTGAAACTTTTCAAAAATGTCTTCAAAAGAAATCTAGGTTCCTTTAGCATGGACTTATCCTCTACTTTCATTTTTACCCATTCATGTGTAAAATTCTAAACTCTGTCAATAACAAGTTGCTTACAGGGTTTTCTTATACAAACTATACTGTTTCACACACCTGTGCCTTACCCATGTCCCCTTACCTAGAAATCCCTCTCAACACTTCTTTTCATCTAAAAACCAAAAACTCACTGCTGTTGAGCTGTATCCGACTCATAGCGACCCCTCCTTGGGTTTCCAAGGCAGTATCACTACAGAAGTAGATTGCCCAACCTTCCTTCTGAGGAGGGGCTGGTGGATTTTAATCACCAGCCTTCTGTTTAACAGTCAAATGCCTTAAGCACTACGCCACCTCATCTGGCTAACATTTATTTCTATTTCAAATAGGCATTGAAACGCAAGAAGGAAATAGCCCATTCAGATATCACTTACACCAGGATGTTATCTTTAACTCCCAGGATGGAAATTTGTCCTCTACCCCTTTTCTGTCTTTGTATGCTTTAACATCCTTTGCTTACAATTCACTTAACAACACACACACACACTTACACATACATCTGGTGCTCATCAGATACTAAGTGATATTTGCTGAATGGCTGAATTAATGTTCATTGACTAGACAGAGAAACTGAGGCATAGAGGGATTAATTCCCCAAGGTCACACACCTAGTAAGTGGTCAGTAGAATAGATATTCAAATCTATTCTCTCTTCAAAATAAACCAGAAAGCTAAGCATATCAACCCTATTTTACATGGAAGGAAACTGAAGATTGGAGAGGTTAGGTAGTCTGACCAAGGTTTCAAAGGTAGTGGGCAGCTGAGTTATGATTCTATACCAAAGTTCATGCTCTTCTCACCACTCCTGACAGAATTGGTTACAAATGGAATTATTAAATCATGAGAGGGTAACTTTATATTTTAAGCAAATAATTTGACTGAGTGAGTTGGTTATTTCCATCAAAACTAATGCATCAGTTTTGTGCACATGAAGAAATCCAGAATAAAAACATATTACCAACTTAACATGGACAATAAGACAATGAAGAAGAGTTGATGCCTTTGAATTGTAATGTTGGCAAAGAATACTGAAAATACCATGAACTTCCAGAAAAATGAAAAGAAATCTATGCTAGAAATGCAGCTGGATTGCTCCTTAGAATCAAGAAAGACCAGACTTCATCTCACATTCTTTGGTCATGTTGTCAGGAGGGGCCGATCCATGGAGAAGAAGATCATGCTTGGTCCAGTGAAGGGTCAGCAAAAAAGGAGAAGAGTTTCAGTGGGATGTATTGACACAGTGCCTCATGATGGGCCCAGGCACAGCAAGGATTTTGAGGATGGCACAGGATTGGGCAGTGTTTCAGTCTGTTGTACACAGGGTTACTATGAATTGGAGGTGACATGACAGCACCTAATGACAATATCAACTTAGGAATGCTTCCACATGTTAACTTTCCATTATTTTTCATTTCTTTCCCACAAATATTTCTAAGCTACGAATAGATGGAAAGTTCTGAGTTAAGAACTATGACAGACTGAATGTGAATAGTCATAATTCTTTCTCTTAAGGACATCACATTCTAATGTGGAAGGTTAATATGTAAAATCCGGGATCTGGTGAAAACCAGTAAAAAGAAAAATAAAAAAAACCCAAACCCAAAATCAGTGACATTGAGTTGTTTCTGAGTCATAGTGACCCCCATTGGGTTTCCAAGGCTGTAAATCTTTATGGAAGAAGATCACCCTGTCTTCCTTCTACAGAGCAGCTGGTGGGTTTGAACCACTAAACTTCATGTTAGCAGTCAAGTGCCTTATCCACTACACCACCGAGCTCCTTTGGGCAGAATTGACTCAGTAGCTAATAACTACATCAATTCACAACTTTATCTCTAAGTATGATTTGTTCTTAATTTGGGACTTCTTTTTCTGACAGAAATATTTTTTAAACATGAACAACTCTAACCCTAAATAGCCAACACAGACTTCCTTTTTCAGGTTTTACCTCGGACCACTTTACAGGGGCTTTCACTGAAATGGTCCTAGGTAAAACCTGAGGGAGTCTGTGTTGGCTATTTAGGGTTATAGTTGTTCATGTTTAAAGAATATTTCTGTCAGAAAAAGAAGCCCCAAATTGAGAACAAAGTATACTTAGTGATAACGTTGGGAATTGATGTCATTGTTGTTAGTTACTGAGTCAATTCTGCCCCATGGTGACCCCATGTGTACAAAGTAGAATGTTCCATAGAGTTTTCAAGACTGTGACCTTTTGGGAGCAGATTTCCAGGCATGTCTTCCAAGGCTCTTCTGGGGATGTTTGACCCACCAAGTTTTCTACCAGTCAAGTATTTTACCATTTGTGCCATCCAGGGCCTCCTGTGAATTGTCATAGGGGCCCTTAAAAAACACTTG